CCCCAGCTCTCAACATGACAACCGAGCCCTCAACAACTAACAATCCGGGGACAGTGTGATCTGAGCAGCAGATGCTTGGCCCACAGGTCAGGAGATCTGAGAGCAAGTCTAGGCTGGTCATGGGCTGCTAAGGATTTTAAGCTCTTTTCCTCACCTGGAAGCTTCTGAACCACACCTGTGTAGCTGGTGCAGGCAGCAGTGCTGACCAGGTCTGAGCATCATGGGGCTTGCTGACTTCTCCTCAGTCTGATCGGTGACATCCAACCCCCACTCGGACGCATTTGCAGATGGGGTTTGTCATGCTACCGCACCAAAAACAGAGCCCCTCTGACCTCCTCTCCCAAAGAAATGGAAGATTAACCACTCTCAACCTGCTATCTTCTACCTTTTTCTGGGTTTCTTGAAGTGTTTCAGTGATTTTTATGATATACTGTTTAGCACAGGGGTCTCAAGTGACAGGCCTCCAACTCATGTCTGGCCCTGAGCTAAGAATGGTTTTTACATTTTTAAATGGCTGGAAAAAATAAAAAAGAATATTTCATGAAAAATTATATGAAATTGAGCCTTCAGTATCCATAAATAAAGATTTTTTTTTGGAACATAGCCATATCCACTCCTTTATGCTGTTTACATTGTAATGTTGTTACACTGTGGCTGTTTTCATATCACAGAACTGAGTAGTGGTGACACAGACCATATGACCCACAAAGACTAAAATTTATACCGTTTGGCCCTTTACAGAAAAAGTTTTTTTTTTAATTTTATTTTATTATTATTTTTTTTAATTAAACCCTGGTTTAGTGTAAAAGGCAGGCTATAGAATCAACTCTATTTGCATAATCCCCTTGTACACATAAATTGAGGAGAAAAATACACTAAAATGGGGATTATCTCTGGATGCTAAAATTACATGCAATTATTTGAATTTTTTCACCAAACGTGTTAAACATAAAGGTATAAAAAATATTAATCACATTAGGAAAATAAAATAGTAAGTGTTTATTCTATCTTACTGTGGGCCAGACCATTTTAGTTGTTGATGTGCTTCATTTCACCTGGTCCCCTTTCTGCCCCCATGCGTAGGGACCCCTGTATCTCTGTCATACAGATGAGGAAAGGAAGACTCAGGGAAGTGAAGTAACTTGCCCAAGGTCACACTGCTAGTTAGAAGTATATTGTGTGTTCACGGTGGAAACACACTTAAGAAACAAAAGGGAACAGGTTGAAACAAGTTTGTTTAGAAAGAGTGTTTTATTTGAATTCACAGGAGACCAATCCTAACAGATAATGAGGAACTTAGAGAGGCTTTGAGTATCCTCTCTAAGAGTCCACTCTGCTTCAACAATGAGGTATCCTGTTTGTGGAAGTACCTGAACAATGGCAGAGCACTGTACTAATGAAGGCTGTGTATTTAGAAACTTGTCAAGGCACAACCTGTTGACTTCCTAAGATTTCCTATCCAATCTTTCTCAAATTAGAAAGAACATAAAAGTCAAGAAGAGAGGACTGGTTGGCTAAACTATGGTGCTTCCATACGATGGAATACTATGCAACAATTAAAGAACCAGGCAATAATCATCTTGTTGCTTCTAGTGTGGGCACTGGAGTTCTGAGGCTGCTCTGTGGTAAGGCAGGAGAAAGTGCATGAGTAATGATGTGAAGTACTAGGACATCACCTCTGGCATCCTTGAGAACCAAGAGTCTCAGCATAAACAAAGGAGGCACAAATATAAAAAGAAGAGGTTAAATAAAATCCCCAGTTCTTTTCAATTTGAATAGAAAGTATCAGTTTGAACTTATGATGTATTTTTAATCACCACCAACAACCACTAGTTTCCTAGCTCTGTCCACTGAAAAGGTCTAGAAAGGATGACTAGCCCAGGAACAATAAGCACCTCCAAGTGCCTAGATTATGGTCTCTAAGAACCATGTCCCACTAAGAGAAACCAGTGGTCCTTGCAGAAATGGCTGATTCCAGGTCTGGGGCAAGGCCTGGAACATCTTAGCTTCCTTGCTATTTGGATGACATCAAAGACTACCAGGATCATGTAAAAAGGAGCCATTGACAGAGATGGCACAATCCAAGTCTTAACAAAATAATAAACAAATGGACTAAAACACATCAAATATGTTTAGAACTATGAGTTTACAAAGATACTAAAAGCAAAACAGAAAACCCTAATCGGTCACCATTAGAAGATGATAGTAAACCACTCATTATTTTGAAAACTAAGAAATAAAGGGAAAGAAACAAACACTTATCCTATCTTTCCTATATAAATTGTATTATTGGACGATCTAATAGGAGATATATTTGATTATTTGTATTTCAGCTAGTAAATGAAGTAATTAACAATGGATCTAAGCAATAAACATTGATAATTGCTAAAAATCACAAAAAGAGAGAAAACTAGACCTTATGTGCCTTCTGACAAGAGAGCACAACATGACTTATGAAGCATTTTTGCCCACAGACATTAAATGTAAATCCAATTAAATATCTAAATCAAACTACTAATTTGTAGGAAATACAGAGGATAGAAGAACATGTTAAACAGCACCACAGGGTTGCAATAAAAAAAAAAAAAATCCAGGCTGTGGGAATCTCTTCAGGACAAAGAATACAATTTCTTCATGAAATAAATTACAAGGGGGCAGGGAGGGCAGTAGAGGGATATAAAAGAAACCTATAGATTAAAAGGCATGTGAAAGACATGTCAATATGCAGCAATGTGTGGGCCTGATTTGGATTCTGATTTTATTTTATTTTATTTATTTTTTTAAGATTTTATTTATTTGTCAGAGAGAGAGAGAGAGAGAGA